AGAATTGTAGGTTTATGTTACTTTTAACCTAATTTAGAATATTATCATTTTTTTTTCTTTTTATATAACAGTAATATATAAAAATTATTTAATTTTTCTTTTAGTTTACTTTAGAGTAGAAGTAAGTAACTTTAAAGGAAAGATCACAATTCCTAACTTTCTTTTAAATTCATTTGTGACTATTCTAATGATACTGTTGGTAATATATTTTATAATGTAATAATGTTGTGACAAACTTTAAAAACAGTTAGTGACAACTATGCGGTTTGTGATTAGAATAGTTTTTAATTAGTAATTATATTCAATATGTTTACACAGTTTTAAATATTTGAGGTTTGTAGTATAATATAAATTATCAATTGATTTTGTAAGAAGGAGGTAAAATAGAAGTTAGTTTAATGATGAGATAGATGAATAAAATTTCTTGTTGTGTTTTCTTGCGAAGAAATTACATATAATGATAGTTAAATTGAAATGAATGATATTAGGCTTATTGAAGTCATTAGTGTTAATGCTAATAGGCAGTTTGAAAATAATTTTCGTCAAAATGAAAGAAATAGAGCAAGGGAAAATAAACCAATTGTCATCAAAATGAAAGAAATAGAGCAAGACAAGATGAAATCGTCAAAACGAATAAAAAAATGCTGCTCGGCAAGCAGAAATTAATTCATACCCTAATGATAAAAATGTACGAAATGCTGCATGACAAGGAGAATGCATTTTATGCAAGAGGTAATATTATTCTTGATAATAATGTTTTGGAGATGTGAACTAGATCTGTCAACATTGTGGCGCTAAAAAAGTTCTATATGAAAGTCATTTTTTATGCTGCAGCATTTAATGTATAATTCTAACAGGGTTTACGGTATGAGAAACGGAAAACTTTTTTAAAATAGGCTCTTGTTATTATGGTTAGGAGCTTTGCAAATAAATGAAAACAACGAAAGGTTTATTTTTATAATAATTCAACAGTATCAACAGCTGATTTGGTTTCTTTATTACGTGAAACCATTTCTAAGGTTCAAGAAACTAGTTTACTTATTAGATGTGTAGTTTGTGATCAAAAATCTGCTAATATAGCTGCCTTGCGTTTGTTTTCCAAAAACTTACCATACTTTCTTAATCTTTTAAATAATAAAAATATTCATGCTGTTTTTGATTGTCTGCATTTTGTAAAAATTATTAAAAACAATTTACAAAGACATAACATTGACATTAATGGTGAAAATGTTTCTTCGCAACACATCCAGTCTAAGTACAATTTAGACAAAATAAAAAATGTGCGTCTAGCGTCAAAAGTAACAGATAGATACAAAGATCCTGGTCCTCTTTAATCTATGAAGGTCAAACTTGTCACTAAAATTTTTAGTTACCAGGTTGCTTCTACATTATACTGCTGCTTTAATACAAATTTAATTTCTTTAAGTGTATTACCAACAGCAAGATTTGTTGAACGCATTTCTACTTTTTCGATATATTTAAAACGCTTTATTATTTTTATTTTTTTTGTAGAAAAAAGCAAATCTAATAGCAACTGTATAAGGGATTCAAATTTTGAGACAGTTTTAATCTAAATGATTTTATAAAGTGTTGTAATCAAACAACCACTAATGGTGGAATTTATGAAACAGAAAATAACATACCTAAAGGAACATTTTATTTTCGTCCAGGATCATTTTGTATTTTTACTTGAAAAATTTTAATGCAACCAAAGGATCAAACTCTTTGACACATGGCTTATTGGCTTATTCAAAAGGTTAAGTTATGTCATAGGTGTACAGATGTATTCTTTCTTAGCTCAGCCGACAATTCATCAACTTTTATGTCACTAGTTTGTGAAAAAGAAACAGCTTTTCTTTTATATGTAATTTTCTTTTTTAATTTTTTGTACTTAAGTGTAATAATCAAGTTCATGTACGTATAATTACGTATAATAGTCTATTTCGTTTGTCAGTATAATAGTCTGATTTTGTATAATAGTCAATTTACTAAAAAATATTTTTCTGAAAAGTTCCAAGGAGGGGGCGGGGAGAGGCTACTACACCCAAGATTCCCCCGTTAAAACCTGCAACTGGATTATCTGTATTTTTTTTTTACTCAATAACATCTGTTTAATATTATCTAAAAAATCAACGAGCCCTAACATAAACTTTAAAAAGATGTAGCTACATCTGGTAATTTTTCTCCAAGTCCAATAACATTTGTAAGAATTTTATCCAGATGTAGTTACAACTTAAGAAATCTTTTTGTTCAACAAAACGTTTTTCCTCATTATTTCATTCTTATTGAATCATTTGAATAGTTGTCTTAGCAAAATTGATGTATCTTAATGCTGTAAAATTGAGATATTTAGCAACAAAGTTATTTATTTAAAAAAAACAAAAACTGTTTGTCTTAGTTGCGGAAAAGTTGATCAAACTATTTGTCTTAGTTGCGGCAGGATCTTTTCCGCAACTAAGACAAATAGTTTGATCAATAAACATGAGTTTGATCAATTAACATGAGTTTGGCAAAATGGATAGGCAGAGTCGGACTGGCATTTAGGGGACCGGGGGAGACATAGATGCAGGGCCGCCTTATATATAAAAATTTCCCTATATTACTTATAAACAACTTTTTTTTTAAGTACCTTTTTAGGGGCCCATAAGATAGAGAGAGGCTCAAACATAGCAGGGACCCCGGGAAAAACTCTTAACCCCCGTCGCCAGTCCGACCCTGTGGATAGGCTTTGGTTCCAATATGAATTTTCTAAAATAAATTGGTATGAATGTCTTTCTTTTGCCTCATTTGAAGCCATCATGTTTTAATAGGTATTCTTCGACCAGATCAAGATGTTTCCCCAACATATTGTCAACTGTATATCTATGACACACTTGTAGCTGTACATTTTTGGATGAAACAACGTGGCAATGATACATGCTTACGTTATTTAACGTCTCAATTGCAAACTATAGAAAGTGGAGTGAACCCATTCGCTCCTGCATTTAAAAAATGGCTCAATTAGAAGATGAAGAAGTTCGTCAAGCAACTATAGAAGAACGCAGTCTTGTTTGTGAAAATGTCTTTACTTGAAAAGCAAAATAGACGTCGCTATAATCTACCATCGCATATTGAATTTGCAGTTGCATTTGTTGGTGAAAATGGTGCTCCACCTGCTTCCAGGAAAGTAGTTATATACCCAAGAGGTCATCCTCTTATAACTATACCATGCACGTCTGCTAATTTAGATCCTAAGGTAGATTCTCTATTTTTCTCAAGAGGCGGTGCAGGTTAGAAAATCACTTGGTTCACAACCCTGAACGTGCTACATTGGTTAAAATCATGTTATCTCAGTATAACAATTATAGACTTTCAGTTTGACATTTTTTTTCTTCAATATTATATGACAAGAAACTGCTTCAGTAACATACTGTTGATGCATATGTCAAAATTGAAAACCAGCACTATGCTTTTATCAAAAATAACCAAAAAAAACTGAGAAGCGAGCAGTATGGTGCCTTACATGAATATGTAAACAACATTAGAAAAGATCATAGCTAGAGACCAGGGGGATATCGTAGTTTTGCCATCATCTTATTTAGGAAGTCCTATAGCTTTAAAAGAAAACTTTGAAGATGCTATGACTATGATTAAAAAGTATGGTTAACCAGATCTTTGTATTACTTTTACCTGCAACCCAAAATTTTTCTTTTTTTAATTTTGTGAGTTTTTTTTAAACAAATAAATATTATGTTTTAAATTCGATTTGTTTTATTTTTTTTTTTATTAAAACAATAATTTTCACCAAGTAAAGCTTAACTTTGAAATATAATTAAATTAATTCATTACTCAATTATTATCAAAAAAAATGTTGCTGCATTCTATTGTTCTAACATTCTAATATAATGATGCTGGATTCTATTGTTAAAAATAGTTAGTTGGTAGTTTCATTTATTTATCGGTTTTTTATTTTTTTATTTCATTTATTTCTTTTAAAGTTTACTAAAATTCAAGACAATATATTTAGCTATGTAAATACAATTTATTTATATCTCAATTTGATTTTTATCTTTAAGTTTATAGTTTGGCTCATCGAAGCATTTTATAGTTCGCTTTTCAAATAATGATATTTTCAATCCATAGTGATGCCTTTAGTGTTAGCTAAGGTTTTCTAAAAGCTAACAAAGTTTTTTTTTTTTTTTTTTTTTTTTTTGTATGCATTTAACGGGATGTTCACGCCTCCTTCCGTACCAATGTCGCTTGTTGGGCTAGAGCTGGCGTCGAACCCCGGACCTCTGGGTTCTGAGCCAGAACTCTAACCACTGCGCCACGGCTGCTCTTAAACATAAAATGTCATTGAAAACACGGACAAGAACTGCTGCATCACAACAGCAACAGCAGTATCACAATAGGTTACCAAAAGTAAGTAAATTCCTTTCCAGTTATGACATTTTTTTCTTTTCTTTTATATCTACTTATCTGTTACAGTTTTTCGTTTAGATATGATTCATTAATGCAATATGAAAGAACAAAGTTTACAAAAATTAATTTGCTATACACATCTTTGATTGTAGATTAAAAAGTTTTGCTTAAAACGTACTTATCATATTTATTTGGCATAGTTATTTATAATAATTTTTGGGACCCAACGCAATATAAGTTTATAAATAAAAAAAATTTCTCAAATATATAAAACCTAACAAATAGTCATGAGAAAAAGGTGCGTGACCTTTTTCAATAAATAAACTAACGCAATGGTTTTTAAGTTAATTTCAAACAAAATTTTACTTATATTTTGTGCAGCGAACTCGAGATAACTGTAAGACACTAAAAGTTTATAACACGAGGTACAGTTTCTGTGTGTTTTAAAATTTTGCTTCAGTTTCTGTATGTTTTTTTACTTTGAACCTTTTTTGATAATTTATAACTTTTATCAACAAACAAATATAAAATAATTTAATAATAAAATCCACGATACAGCAATTTATGAAGTTTATACTATTAAGTAGAATTTTTCTTACTTTAGTAGGACCCTCCCAAGCTAATGTTGATATTACTGACGTTAGAACTAATAGTTTCCAACCCATCACGTTCAAGTTTTCCAAATAAGTGTATTACAATCAACTGCAAAATTCGAATTAATTATTTTTGAATTTTTTCAAATTTGACCCTTTAAATACTTTTTTTTGTTTACACACCTTTAATTGCTTTTGATTTTATTAATGACGGTAGAGACAAAATGCTAAGTAACAACGAATTAGAACATTTTTAATTATTTTCTTAAAATTTTCTTTTTAAAAGTTACATAATAATTTGCGTTATTGGCTTGTTTTAAAGGGTAAACAAGCGCCATTTACGTACGCGCTAAGCCATTCAACGTAAGCGGTAATTTTAATTATTTTTCACGTAACTATATTTCACGTAATTACATTTCAGGTAATTACATTACACGTAAATCATTTTTTATCATTTAAATAAAACCGCTTAAAGTAATATAAAGGAATCATTTTTGCGGTAAGATTACGTTAAAAAAACCACTAGGGAAGTTTGAATAACGATTACGTAAAAAAGTTTGCAGGACGATTACATTGGATATTCGCGCTATTTACAAATGTAATAACTTAAAAAAACAAAGAAAATTTAATTTTTTGTATTAACCTAACTTTTTTTATCAAAAATGTTCTGTAAATAAAAATAAAAAAAAGATATTACAGGCGCGTAAAAAAATAAATCATAAAATAAATATAATAAATAAAATCATCTAAATTATCTTGCAAGAGCAAGAATATTTATTTAGATCATTTCTCATAACAAAAATAATTATCCAATTTAAGAAAAGAAAAAAAAAATGATTACCTAAAAAATAGCACTCGTAAAATTTAATTTTATAGAACCGCCTAATTTGATATTTTAAATTTTGCATGTCTGTTTGTTTTGTTATAATGATTGATTATATTGAAAAAAAAATGAAAAAACATTAATTATTACAAACTTAAAACGACATACTATAGAGAGTTCATTTTTTTATAATTAAAAAAAAAAAAAAACTTCTTTTATTGATATAACTCTTTTGTTATTTTTTTTTTGCTTGAATTTACATTTGAAGCGTATTAGCTCTTGCAATATCTTTGTTTATATTTATAAGTTTTTTCTTGCAAAAAAAATTTGTTTAGAAAAATAATATTTTTAATAGTTAAATCAGCATCATATAACTAACTGATTGTGCGATATCAAAAAAGTAAAAACAGAAATTTTCTTATAATGAAGAACCGGGTAGGAAATCGGCTAGCTATAATCGCAACGATAAAGACAATATGGCCACGAGGATCGCTAGCTTTTTTAAGTTACCGAAAAGCTATCGACATTTGTAAAGACAAAGACAGAGAATTGGCTGCGAGGACAGCTAGCTTAATAAGCTAAAAATCCACTGGCTAATGTAGCTTATGTCATATCGTAATAAAATCGCTGTCTAAAATATTTTGATATATAGCTGCCAAGATCAGGATTTTTAGATAATTTGTAGCTAGCTACAAAGCTACGATATGTAGCTAGAGACACATTGCTAAAATACCGCATTCTTTAAAGTTTAGTTATTCTCATAATTTTAATAGACTCAACACTAAAAATCGAATTTTTAAAGATGTTAAGGATATTAGGAAAAGAAAAAAAAAATCGCTATAAAGCTAGCTAGTCGCTCGCTAGTCACTAGATCATTTCCTACCGGAAATGAACTTTGATTTAAATATTTACTTAAATTGAAAAATATTAGTTTTTTTTTCGGTTTTCACTTCCTCCTTTTTATTATTATATCTATATCTATATCTATATATATATATATATATATATATATATATATATATATATATATATATATATATATATATATACAGAGGCGATATCGAGAAAAAAAAATAATAATAATTTTTGATAAATGATGTTTCCTAAGGTTCCTAAAATGGTATAACCTCTTTTACAGGTAGATTAACGATTTTGTCGCGAACTTTTTTGGTTAAGAATATTTATACAAGTACGACTGTGTATAATTTATACAAGGTCGACGGTTAATTTTTATTTCTTGGTTGTGTAGTTAATATTCTTTGATTGTTTTTATTGTTAAAAGAATTTACCATCCCCGTTATAATTCTTTCCCGGTTAGCACGGATCCTTATAATGCCTACCTAGCTGTCCCAAGAACGCCATTTATACGGAAAGTTAGCGTACACATCAAGGTACACTGTGATGCAAACTTTGAAATCATTTAGTTTTTTCCGCGGAAAATAATTTAATTTGAATGTTCAAATTAATTCAAGTTTTGACTTCATAGTGCGCCAACAAAAATACTTGTAGAATTTGAATCACTCAACATAATTTGATAAAAATTAGTGCAAATGTAGCCAATAGTCACACCAAACTCTGAACATAATTTCAGCCTGATTAAATGACTGGTGTAGGATTTATTGCAGTTTTAGTTGAAGTTTTGTCAGTTTTTTGCTACTTATACCTCAATGCGTTATCGATTACTTTGAAATTCGGTAACTATTTTTAAAATAACGGTTACATGAGTGTTCTACTATGTAATACCAATAATTTTTGTTTTAGTTATTTTATTGGTACATGTACAGTTTTCATTTTATAGACCAAAATAGTGATTTTTTACTTAAAGCGTGATTTTAATTGGCTTATATCAATGGCGTTGACACGGCGTTCAAATTGGAGGGGGTCAACCCCTCAATTTCTAAAATAAAATCCGTAATTTTTAAAATAATAGCCTATATTTCTAAAACAAAAGTTCCTCGCAAAATAAAAGTAGTTGGCGTTGACGGCCATGAATGCTTCGCTAGAATATACCGACATTTTCCAAGGTATAAACTGCTGCCAAAAAAAGGTAGGTAGGCATTATAAAGATCCGTGCTAACCGTGCTTTTCAATCAATATTTTGTAATTACGACAGAACGAATGAAGACCATCAAAAATCATTATATTCTCAATATTATATGCTTATCTACTGCTAATTGTTAGTTATATGCGATAATACATAAGCTGTTGTCATGTTATTAAATAATGATAGAATTTGGTGAAGTTGCTTCAGATGATACGTTTTTAGACGCTTAAGATGTGATGCGGCTTTTTATTAGAAAAAGGGGTTTTTTTTAAGTTATTCTCCGCGCAGCTTTATTTTGGTTTTTCAAGAGAAAAAGTTTTTTCAAAAAATAGTATCGTTAACTTTTTCAGAGATAGGAAAGATTTATTATTGCATTTTTTATGGTTAAAATAAATACTTTTTGCTTCCCTGTAAGCACAAAGACGTTTAAAACACGTTTTAAAGATGTCTTTAAGGAGGTCTAAAAGGCGCACTTGTAGACGTCTACACCTTTTTAAGATGTAATTGAGAAAACAAAAATTGTAATTAAGAATCGTAAGATGTAATTGAGAAAACAAAAGTTGTAATTAAGAAACGTAAGATGTAATTGAGAAAACGTAAGTTGTAATTAAGAAACATAAGATGTAATTTAGAAAACGAAAATTGTAATTAAGAATCGTAACATGTAATTGAGAAAATGTAAGTTGTAATTAAGAAATAGAAAGATGTAATTGAGAACACGAAAATTTTAATTTAGATATCGCTTTAAAGGAGTAAGTGTAAAATGGCACTTAAAAAAAATGGCGCGTAAAAAAATGGAGCGTATAAAATGACTCACTTAAAAAAGACGCAAGATTTGTAGCGTAAATTTAATTTTTTACGGAAAAATTTAGGGAAAAATTTATAATTTTTGGGCAAATGAATTTATCATAATAAACACTAAAAACATTTTAGGGAAAAATTTATAATTCAATTAAAAATTATAATTAAAAATTATATAATTAAAAATCACTTCATTGATCATTTAAGCACCAACTTGTACGTCTTCCATATTTAAAATAGTTGCATAGTGCGTGGTTGTGTGTTGTACCGCACGTGCACAATCTCCTCCCATTATAGTATTTTTCGCCTAAATTACAATTCGTTCTAAGCACTGCATGCGCTGTTCCGCAATCCCGTCACCTAATACAGGTAGAATGCGAATTGCATTTTTAACGTTACTTTTATTTTTGGACCAGATCGTTTCCACCGGGTTCAACATTGGACTGTAAGGTCCCAAACGCAACAACTGAGCTGGTGAATTATCAAACACCCTTTGCAAACGAGCGTGACAAGGAGCATTATCTGTTACGACGACCAAATCCTCCAAACGATTCCCGGATGTAACCCACTGGTGAAACATAGCCAACATCCACTCGTTACAGGAATCTGCTTTAAATGATCCCCTGCGAGTTTCTATCATGACGACATTTGTAGTTGAAATAGCTGCGATTAAGTGTATGTTTAAACCTTTTGAAGCAGGTACTTTCATAATTGCTCTTTTTCCTTGTCTCGCGCGTCCTTGCGTTTTTCTACAAAAAAGGTTAAAGTTTGTTTCATCCAACCAAACTATCTGACGACCATTTGTGATATGTTCGTTGATGTTTCTAACATATTCAGCTCTTTTTTGTTTGTTTTCATAACTTTTCCCGAGAAAAAAAAAACCGCTAATACTACTAGGAATATGTTTAACTTCCTGCTAATCCTGTTAAGTTCCTGCTAATACGGCTAATCCTGGTAAGTTTTCGCTTAATACGGCTAAACCTATTAAGTTTCCCATTAGTGAAATGACGTTTATGAATTTCCTGCTAATCCTTGTAAGTTTCTACTAAGTACTTATCAGGATTAAACGAATTACTTAGTAAGTTCCTAGTAAGTTTTCAAAAATAAAACAAGTATAAAAAAACGTCTTTATTATACGCCATCTTTTATTTATTCACACGGAAGACAAGTCAGCCGTAAAACAGCTTTTTTAGATTCAATAATTTTACTAATTAATATTTGTAATTCTATAAAAAAAAAGCTCAAGAACATCTGGGGATGATTGCGTGGTTTGCAGTTTATTTGATGAATATTTGTTAATGTGTCATAATGTGGTTTTAAATGTTAATTTTAACTCGAGCATTTTCTGTTGTATTAATTCGAGTATTTTCTGATTCATAGTGATATATATGGTGATGTATTTTTTAAATTATATTTTATTTTTTAATAAACATAAAATCATAAATCATAAACAATTATATTGTCACTCTTTCTTTTTACTGTTTCTTTTTAC